TGAAAAGTGTTGATTTGAAATTGAAAGTGGCAATTATTTTTGCATTTTATGACTCCTATAGAGGTGGAGTAGGTGTAAATCTCAACAAATGTAAATGTATTTCCATACACTTTCATAACGTAAGCTTTGACCATGAACACACTGACTTATGAAGATACTTCAATGTCAAGTGATAAACGCAGTAACAAGGATATCAAGCATTCTAAAGCGTTCTAGGGTTGAGCCCTTTTTAAGGATACATCACGCATTCGACATCTTCAGGCATTAAGGAGGTAACTGCATGCATAATTAGCCGATAAAATAACTTCTGGAGGCTATAGGGACGGGATAATATGACAAGGTAGTACTTTCATCTTTGCGAAGAAGTTTCGCATAAATACGATGTCAGCGGAGATCCGGGGCGCAAGATCAGACCAACGATCACATCTGTATCGTAGTGTAGGGCTCCTCTTACCACTACGCTACAGCATCTCAGTGCACGCGTTTTTCCACTGATACAAAAAACACGAGTAAGTTGTATACTGCCGTCCACTCATGAACATTTCAGCGATAGCAGCCGATTTCGCGTGGCTGGCCAAAAAAATCATGTCGGTGGCGATTAGTTAATTGCGCACTGGAATCAATATTTACTTAGTGATCAAAAATCCGTAAAGACGCATTGAACCAAATTCTTGCAATTGCTGTTCATTTGGTCAGTCGACAGGACTGTAAGACGGTAGAAGAGCTCAAAGGGCTTCCAGAAAAATGGTCTCTGTAAGCCAAAATCAAGGGACCGGATATGTGCATAAGCGGCATAAAAAATATGGATAAGAGTGCCGAATGTGTCCAGAAGTAGATGAGACAAGAAAGATGATACTAAAAATACATAATATGCTGCTTTGATATGGGTGAAACCAAGCTTGAGCTATTTTTAGCGATGATACCAGTCAACAAACCATACACCATGACAGTGAGCATCCATAAACCATACATTAAAAATACCAACAGCTTATATGAAGTAGCTGATTTGAGAGAGGATAGAGAGAAAAAGACAGATGTAGGGAGACAGAAAAAAGGAGACCACCACTTTAGAAAAAAGGAACAAATAAATGACACAATAATATTCCTGATTTTCGCCTTTAAGCCAATCACGAGGTGTTACAATAAACTTTATTTGACAGCTGACGTTTCGGCAGTCCGCCTTCTTCAGAGCCTCGAAAGCTCAAATTTTCTGCAATCTAATAAGCTAAACACCTTCATTACTCCTTTAGAAAAAATTACTAACCTTAGATTTTGATCGCATCAAGCACAAAATCAACTCTCAACATACTCACAGCTTTTTATACGTGTTCCACCGCATGATTCAAGTGGAGACCACCGGAAGGAGATCAAATAAGCTTGTAATGCACCTTACCCATCAAAACAAACGTCAGCTGTCAAATAAAGTTTATTGTAACACCTCGTGTTTGGCTTAAAGAAGAAAATCAAGAATTGTATCGAAGCATGGCGAGGTTAATAGACATCGGTCTTGGGAGTTTTGCCTGTGGTGCAGGTATAATGTAGATAATAGAGAAACATCATTTAACAACTCAAAACCGACGACCTGAGCTTTTCAATGACAGGCGATATTTTCTCAATATTCGTAACCTTGAAGGGTTCAGACCTTCACAGATTTGTAGAAAATGCTCCATTGCGTTGATCAAACAAACGAATCCCATACAATTTCCTTTCAAATTCAAGTATAATGAGAATTAAAACTCTCAAAATAATGAGCTATACGATTTTTTTCGTGCAGCATACAAAATTTTGTTCATTTGGCCGTTGAGATGCAAAATATAAGCAGCTTTGAAGCAGTAAATTAACACGAAATATATGTCATACGCTCGAGAAAATCAGAACATCGTAGCAAAAACAGGAGAACTCCCATCCTGCAGAAGAGAACTCGTGAATTCCGAATCTTTTTTTTCATAAATTTCAATCATTAAACTTCTTCAGCGAGTTCAGTCATGCGCTGATTTGAAGACAAAAGCGGTCATAACTCTCGTACAGCATGACTTTCACAGGGGGCAGGCACGCCTTTGCATCCGCTGAACTGAGCTTGTATCCTATTGCTAAGACGAATACATCTACTTTAGTAAATCCATGGATAAAGAGGAGTTATAGGACATTGTATGGACATGATGGTAGATCGTCATGATCCAGTAGTGGCCGCAGTTTCTTAGCGAAGAGAAAGGCCTCTCAAAAACTAGTCGATATAGAGGGAAAAGTTGATTTGGATGGCTTCGTTCGTTACGTGAAAGAAGCATTCGAGCGTGAACTCTCGGCCAAGAGAGATGGTGACCCAATTTATCGATTGAGCGACCGACCGACCAGTTGCGAACGTTTGAATGTGTAGCGGGAAAAAAAGCCAAGCGACACGAAAAGGACGTTACGACATTGACGAGATGCTCGAAAGGTCAAAAAACAACGCAAACGTCTGCCCAACAAATTGCCACATACCAAAACTAGCAGGAGAATTCGCGCTGATGCAAAAGCCGTGAGAGTACAGTGGCTAGCATGCGTTCAGAAGTGATGAGACATGGGTACGACTCCAGCCCGAAGTAAAAAGTTTTGTATATCACTGAGTATTTTTCGATTATATAGTTGTAATGGGGCGCCATTGCCGAGAGGTTGTGATGCTCGTCGCGGCGCGCGTGGAGCCCAACTCCACCTTCATTTCTCTTCGGCGGTCAACAACAAACCCTGTAGGGAACGCCACGGCCAGGCTGACCTCGAAACTGCGAGCAGACTCACTCAACCAGTATTCTACGACGTTCAAGAAGAAGACGATGGAGCGAATTGAATGCTGAATGTTCTGGGATACGCATAGTGAAAAAAAAACACTGTGAAGATGGATCGATAAAATGTCTAAAGTGTATAGTTATAACATCATATCACTACTACTAAAGCGGTTGATTAAATAATTCGGTATGTCTCTGTTCTATTATCGCGACGTATTTCTTTGCAAAGGCCTTTTTTGCTAAACCGAGCTTCCCACCAAACTTCCAATAATCATTCGGAAACTCAAACTTCGACTCATCACTGCACTTGGCTTTCGAAAAGGCTTTTCTACTGCGCTGTAGCAGAGGAAATGAGATTGAATTCACACTCGCCGCGCGTTTTTTCCATTTACTTTCTTCATAATTCGAAAGATTTTCCTCCGTTTCCAGGTTTCCGTGGCAGAATTATAGAAAAAACTTTGTTCTAACGTCCCACAGGCTTGGGGTTTTAATTCCACTTTCACAATCTACCACTTTATTTGACTCCTCCTTAGTTTTTTATTCTCTTTACAACGAGGATTCCAGCACTTATAGTAAACGATTCGTCTCCTCACTCGCTTGAGGATTTCATTTTCTTCATAAACACCGTAGAATCTAGTTGAGGACGTCTCCTGGCAATCTCAAAGATAGGCACAATAGGCATTCCGTATGAGCGCAAGCTACGGACTCCTGGAGAGTGTTGGGGTAGTAGGGATCAACCTGGCATCGAAAATCACTCGGCCACCGATCACCCTTTCTCTAATCATATTGCCACATAAACCTACTAATAAGTCTAAGGGAAGGAGGGGGGAGGGGATAAGCAGCCCAATCTATCGACGAAAATCATAGACATCTATAGAGAGAATCATTGAGCATCAGAATCAAACGTTTTATCAATTTGTTTTACTCAACATCACGTTTCACGCGTGGAAAGAAAACCATGGATTGAATAACAAAAATCACGCGCCAGTTGTGAATCGCACTGCGCGACCGATGAAGCCGTCGTGGAAAGCGACGACTCTCAGCGTGAAACATAATATTCTTTTCGCTTTCACAGTGCTCTTTCAAGACCATTTCGAAAACCGAATTTATTTTCAGAATCATCGAGAATTGTGCTATCGAATGAGAACTTGGAATCTGCTAAAAAGCCATCTATGAACCCTAGCCGTGCAATCTAAGCACTACGAGTGTGAAACTCGATCTAATTCACGCTGCTACATCGCTCTAAGGAGGCCTTACAAGATAAAACAAGGGTATTGAGATCGCCGAGATTTAAGCTATTGAATGATTACCAATAGTGCATGAAAAAAGCAGAAAAGGTCCTGTCCTCAAAGAAAATGAAAATGAAGAAATGCGTCGCACCAACAGAAAAATAGAAATAAATCTTGAAGACGACAATCTAAGTTTGAATTTTGCCACTAAAGCAGTGAATATGAAATTATACTCCTGAAAATACATCATGGCAAATGTGTGGGAATTCAGTTCAGCCATACATATCACTTTAATTTATTTTAAGCACTTGATTGATCCGTCTTCACAATATTTTTTCACTGTGCGGATCCAGTACTTCTAGCATTCAATTCGTTTATTCGTTTTCATCCTGAACGTCGTAGAATTCTGGTTGAGAGAGCCTCTCCTTGCAATCTCGAGGATAGCCTAGCTGAGGCGTTCCATAAGGCGCTCGTTTTTGAGTGCCGAAGAGTGTTGGGGAGACGAATATCACAACCACTCGGTCACGGCGCCCCTATAAAAAAGAATGAAGCTCTTAGCGTTGACCAATCCCTGAAGGATGCGTCATATATTCGGCTCCAATTTTTGACTGTTTGAGGTGACTGAATGCACATATTGCCTTTACAATGACTCGCGTGGCCTCTCGCTGCTCCGAGTTATTGCTGCTTATCCTCCTGGACGATTAGGCGACCAGTCTGGTACCAACTCATCGAGCCCGGAGGGATGGATGGATTGGCGAGCCATGAGCGCGAGATCGAAACATCGATCTTATGTGTGACGCAAAGCAACTCTAGCCACGGCGCTTCCACACGCGTCAACATTTAGTAATAACAGAGGATTGATCGAGAATGGCTGTACAGATGTAAGCAAAATCGTTCGACGACATTGGAAAGCACCGACCTTTTCACTGATACAGCAGCATACAGGAAAATTTTTATGACCTAAAAGATTTCGATACAATAGATAGCACATAGGCCAACATTAATCCAGGAGGGAATGGTAGTGCAGTGGTAGCACGCGCTTCTCACTTCCGGTGGTACGCGGGTTCAACTCCCGCTGAGGTCGAATTTTTGCTCAAAATCTATCCTTTTAGGTATATTTGAAAACATCATAAAATTGCGAAAAAGCAGTCAAAACATGAGGGAATCTTGAGTATGAATCCAGGAGACTGGAAGCGGACCAACAATTTCTACGAAAGGCTCAAACAGAGAGAGAGAGAATGTCTCAAAACAGAACGGATCGGCTTCGACAGATTTGTCAGTCGAATGTTGGGTTTTACCATCAGGACACAACATTTCGGGTTTCGTAGCTCTGAAAACCCATGAAAAATGATTATACCCATTGATGTGGAGTACTGGGCAAAACTTACGTGTCAGGTGGGACTCGAACGCGCACCTCACTTTCCGGGGTGCGTTCTCGAACGGTTGAACTACCGACGCCTGCTTCAAGACCACTCTTTCACAAAAAATGAATAAATGAACGACAGCAAGAGATGGGTAAAGCCTCAGGTATCTCAACAGGCTTAGTCCATGCGCCGTTACCTTCAGCGATGTGTTCCCTCACGGACTGTACATTCGAGCTGACGTCAAGGGAATTCGCACTGGCAGTTTATTGTACATGAGATGACTCGCCTCCTCTGCTCAGTTATTGCTCCTCCCTTTTCTCTTTTTTCTTCTTTTTAAAAGACCCTCTTTCATCTTATATTTTTGTGTACAAAAGAAACCAAGTAGCATAGTGGTTAGAGGTGCTGTGCGTCGTGCACGTGGTCGGTGGTTCACTCCTGGCTCCGGGCTCATCAAGCCTTCCATCCCTCCGGGGTCGGTGAATCGGCTTCAGACTATCTGGGAGAATAGCCGCACTGACTCATCGATTCAGCACCCCACCAAGGGTCATTGTAAAGGCCAAATATGCATCCAGTCGCCTTGAAGGAAGCTAAAAATTCCAGACGAATGCGTGGCGCATCTTTTGGGGAATGATCAACGCCGAGAGCTTCAGCCTCTATCCTTTTCCTGTTTGATCTACTAGTTTTGCCCTTAGCAGAAAGTCACCTTAAAATGACGTTTCGTCGTGTTTCGGCATCTCCTTACATTCTGTTAGTTGATCATTTTGTTTTGAGTTGTTATTCCACGAATCATAGGTCTTAGCAATGGAATCCTTTTGCAAATAAACCCATTGACATAGAGTGATGTGCAGAACATTTGCGTCAGGCGGGACTCGAACCCGCATACAGTCCGGTGGCGCATGCTCTATCCCTTGCACCACCAACGCCTGTTTTGACCTCACTCTTTCTAGGCTACATTGCATCTATCTGTCAGCAACCAACCGTCAGTGGTATTTCATGGGTAGTCGCTATCGATATTGAAGCCAGCCATGCTGACTTATTGGGTACTGGATGATCAAGCAGAATTTCTTAACATTTAACCGCTTTTAGCGATGGTATGATGTTACAAATGTACCCACTGATATAGAGTGACATGCAAAACATTTGCGTGGGTTGGGACTTGAACCCGCATTTCACCCATTCCTAGAATGGCGCTCTATCCCTTGCACCACCGACGCTTGTTTTGACACTATTCCTTCTTTTTGTTATTCCTTTTGTAACCTTGGAATTCTTTTGTTTTGTTATTTCTGTAGCGGTTTTTCGCTTCATTTGTAAAACTGGTTAGTTTGAGAGTTCTTTTTCTGGGAATCTCAAAAATCAACTTAGTAATCGTTCTTATGTCATGCGGACAGCGGTAATCAACGTATTCTCTTTAATCTCATCGTAAGTTCTACCAAGAGGACTCTGACCTATTCTAGGTTCTTTCTCGAATTATCTGCTTACCTTTGATGTATTTGATATTGCGAGTTTCGTATATTATCTTCAGATTGTTAGACTGTGGTAAGGCTTCAAAGAAATTGGGGAAATCAGCAGAGCGGCGTTGTTTTTAGCAGAACATTCGTCACTCCGACATTCATGTATGACGGATTGTTAAGCCCAGAAGCTCAGAAAGCAATTGCGTCATACTCTGATGATCTACTTGAAGCGGTATGTAGTGACATTTCATTAGTGCATATCAGCTGAACCCTTGGTTGTTCTGATCGTCCTTTCCGTATTGGTACTTCATAGTCGGGGTCGTCCTTCTGATCATAGGGCTTCTGCCTGATGCTTCCTGAGCCTCTGTAAATGACATTTTTTGCAGCTAATTGATGCAGTTTGTCTGGAGACAAAGTCACAAAACAACCATCGTATTAACGAGGACGACGTCCTAAAGTCAGTGAAAACCGTATCGAAATTTCCTGCTCGTGTGGTGAGTCTTCATGCTATTCCTATCGTAGGATCCTATGGATTTGATAGGAAGTTTTCTGGATCACATGTACTAAATTTTCCTGAACTTCATTCACTGTGGTCTTTGTTTTAACAGCACTAAAATTGCTCAATTTCGAAGTCGTTTTATTAATTATAGTGATCGACTTTTCAGGTGCCTCGGGCATCTTTGAGGATCTTCAATCCGAAAGCGTCACCTGATCGACCAGTCGTTCCGAGTACTACATTAGATGCTTCACAGACAGAAAAAACTCCCAAAAAACCTGGGCAGCCACTGATGCGTCCTCGAAGAGCCTTTGTCGACGAAGCTCAATTTCTTGAAGACATTCGTAAGATGAAGCCAGTAGAAATTAGAGAGCCCGTACTTTACAGCTCTCATAAGCTATCACTAGATGTGAAGGACATACTGCCACTTTTGGGTGCTTCAGCTGTTGCTGAAGCTTCTTCAGCCTTGGAACGTCCAGCTCGACATTTTGTCGGACGACCGCAGCCTCTAATTACTGAAGACCGAGGAAATCTTCAACCAGAACTCACTACTTATCATAAGTACCGCGATTATCTCGGTATCGTAGGCCCAATGCCGAATATCAAATCAAAATTTGGTCCAATGACGGAGATTCCGGCTTATCTACACGCTTTACGACAGCGAAATGAGATTTTTGGACTTGCTTCAAACAATGGCACAGCGATACCAAGTGCTCCCCAAGTCCACACTTCGAATTATCCTATTCAACAGTTATCTCAAGCGGCTCCAATACAAACGTACTACGAACAACCCAATTCTCATCATCATACGTCACTAAATCTTCCCTTGCAAAATCTTTATAATATTCCTATGCCACCTCAACCTAGTGTTTCAATGCCATTTGACATTCAGCAGGCATTCAGAAGCATGCATCCCCACCAGACCGCTCGTATATTTCACGAATTTCTCCAAATGCAACGCCGTCAGAAGTGGGTCGATGACCTTGAACGTTCAGCTCTTATGTCGCCCACTCCCCTCTTACTGAATGTGATTACCCTCTATGTTTAGTAGGTGGTCACCATCATTGCGTTTCGTCGAGAAAGAGTGCGGATCTTACGCTCTCTTTGACAGTACGAAATGATCAAATAGTATCTAGCACTCCACCCTGTACTCGTGAAGAGACGCCACCTGAGTGTGATATAGTAGAAATTCCTGAGATACCAGTCGATCATATAGATTGTGCTGAGTATTATACACGATTAAATAGAGGTTTTGCTGCAAAAACTAAGAGTCCTGAGTTGCATTTGTCATCAGAAGCTCTTAAGAATCAAGACTTGGGCGTAAGGCAAGATCCTGATGCAGCACTGGACAATACCAATGCTTGTGATGAAATTTTCATACCGAAGCCACCCGCACATCTCTCACAAAAGGAAGCGCATTTGTTCGAGAAGTGTGTGGGGCGACTTCTGATTATAGCTCATGGTGGAAACCTTTGTAAATCGTAAAGGGTATAAGAAGACCTCATAGGTCTTCCATTGTTTTTCATCGTCATGTTCATTGAAGTCGTAAACGTCGTAAATTGTGTCATAGTAAGTAAGGAATAAATTCGAAAACATGAAGTCTAAGCCGAAGATCTTTACATTGTTGAACTTATATTGTAAAATATTCTCATCGTTCCTTTGCTTCTAATACATTCGGGCGCAATTTTGGACTTGAAGAGCTGATAATTGCAATTTTCATATCACTGTATTTTTCATCTGATGCAAATGCTCTGTATTGTCAAGATTAGACCGTGCTGAAATGTTTCGAAGTGTAAGACCTTGCTGAAGATCACTGTTTCACCCTCTTAATTATCTGAATTTTCGTTACCTCACTTTTATCCAGGTCACGTGCATACGATGACCTCTCATTTTTCTGGACTCATATAAATGATGCATCTGTAGACAGAAGCCTCAAAAAGTTGCATTTGCAATATCACTGAACTTCATGATAATGCTAATTTCTTGAGGATTGTTCCAATAAATGGTATCTTAGAAAACGACCATCCTCCGACTTTGAGGTTTGCCGTTACATAATTTTCTTAAAGTTCATACTTCCCTTAGCAAAAACGTTTGACCACAATGCAATGTGATATATTGGTATGCCTTAACATGCTGAAGACATTAGTGGCTTCTTGTCAGTGCAGCTGTCGTTCGTCCCTATCTTTTACCTGTCATGCCCACCTTACTTCCGGAGAGAAAGATTGAAGACGCAGTAGGGAAAGTCTAAGTCTATTTTGTGACATAGTTCGTCTTCGAATAACCACAAATTGAGGAATTTTGGTACTTTTTCAATATCGGCATCCTGTTTAAACCCTTGGGTACAGTGCGTTTTCTGCTTTTTTCTAGAGTTTAGTAGTCAGCGGACAAGTTGAATCTCGAAAGTTTTTATGCTATATTCCCTTCTAAATTGCTCTTTTAATGCTCTGTATCAGTAGAAATATTACTGTGTCTCACACTTGGCATTTCGCTGACACTTGTCTCCCCTAGGCTTCAAATAATCAGTCGATAGCATAATATCTCGAAGATTTCAATAGTGCATTTTGTTTTTGGAAAAAATTTTTTAGTGCGCTGTAGTAGCCTAAAGAAAATTGGGTCTTGCACCAAGCGCGCATTTCTTGTCGGCTGAGGTGTGTGAGTGTATCGATCGCACAGTGTAAATCACATTTAGTATGTGATTTTTATTATCAAATTAGTGCTTTTCTCCGCTGTGAAAAATTAACTGGGTAAACCATATGACTCTGATCCTATAAGAT